GCCATCACCACGGCAGCCCCAGCATCAGGGCCCCCAGCCCATCAGACGCCACTGCACCTCCAACCTGTCATTGCCACTACCCTGTGCACACCCCTCCACCTCTTCACCAGCACCAGGCCCCTCGGAGCCACTAGCCACTACCGCCTCTGCTACCTCATCCACATGCCCTCAGCCTACACTGCTTCACCCTCCCATCTCCACCCACTCTGCCACTGCCCCCACACAAAACTGTTTCCCAGCATTAACTATAAAGTAATAATTGTTACAACCTGGCCCGGTACCACTCTGTATGGTCACCAGTCTGTTGTGGGTGAAACCAGTTGCTTGGTCGCCCATGTTTTGTCTTGAATGATCCCTTAGAATATGTGGTAACTAGTTATGATCATTTATTTTTTGACCTTAGCTGTGATACTCTGAATACTTTTTCCAGACCTGAGGAAGAGCTCTGTGTAGCTCAAAAGCTTGTCTCTCTCAACAACACAAGTTGGTCCGTCTTTACCCATCTCATCTCTCTCTAAAGGTTCATCGAACATTATTCCCAATTTACAGGTTGGGATAGGGAGGCACAGGGAAGCCACGGCCCACATTCTCTAAAAGTGGCCACTGATTTTGGGTGCCAACTCGGAGACTGTTGGACATGATTTTCAGAAGCGCTAAGGTTCCTACAATTCCAGTTGATGTCCGTGGGAGCCGTATATACTCAGCATCTCTGAAAATGAGGTCATAAGTGTCTCAAGTGGGACAACCAAAAATCAGATGCCAAACTTTACAACTGTCCAAAATGACTTGTCTACGGTCATGCAGCAAGTAAGTGGCAGAACAAAGAAATAGAAACCACTTCTGTTTCTTATCCACTGGACCACACTGCCTTCCACTATACTGTGAACAGAAAATTGGGATATACTTAATTAAAAGCTGAGTCAGGCTGACATGGTTGGAATTTTTAAGAATGAGTGGTGTTACTATCAGGACACAGCACCTTTAGGGTGTGGTACAGTCTGGGTGGTACAGTGCAAAAGCCTTGCCCATTGTAACTTGGTTGCAGCAAGGAATAGAATAGATAGTAGCCTGCAACAAGGAAATCTCATGTTGTGGTAACTTGATTAATTTTTTCTGTTGATGTCTCTTGTTCTAATGAAAATATTTTTAGTTAATTGAAGGCATGATTGGCTTCTTTGGATCCGGACATAACAGACTAAAGACTGGATATTATGTCTTAGTGGTAGAACAATAATTAAGGTTTTGTTGAGTTGGTATAATTGTTTTAGCAGCAAATAGAAGGTTTTCTCAAAATGTAATACAAAATTTGCTTCTTAAGTATTGTTGGAAAAATTCCATACTTGAAGGAGTAAAATATAGATGAATTATTCTAGTTAAGTCTAATATTGTTTCTTATTTCCCCCAAACAGTGCAGGGAGGTCTGAGGATAGTTACAGAGCTCTCATCTCTTTTTCATTCTGGATTGTCATTTTTTCCTCTTACTTTCTTCAATGTCTATAATCAAGTACTCAGCATCACTGTATAGCCCAGAGGACAGATACCTTATCTTCTTCAGCGGCTGCTGTTAATGTCAGTTTGTAGGGTCTCAAGGGTGACACGATCTGTTCACTCTCTCTTTGCCCACAGAGAATGTTCTCTGACCAGAGTTTGGAGAGGAGAAGAATTGAATTTCTATTCTTGAACTCAAGACTCCTCTCCACATGGTAATAGCTGGTGCAACCAGCCATGTCACCACAGAGAGCTGTATAATAACTGCCCATACAGATTTCAAAACAACCTGGAACTACATACTTTTTGTGCACACATAGATATATAAAATTTAGGAGCTATTGATTTTTTGTTTCAATGAACAGGTATAAGGAGGATTTATTCACTCTCCATGACCTTAGCTATGATTTTTTTTCCATAGGAATATAGGCATTGCCATCTCCCACAGTCTCTTATACTGTTTGATTTTTACCATTTAATTATGTGTCAGTTGGTTCTATTGTATTACACATAGGTTCTTATAGTGCCCTCATCATCATAATATCTGAGTGCCTTCCAATAGTGCTTTACAGGTACAGCTACACTCCAACCTCCCACCCTGCGGTAGCAAGTCTCAGAGCCTGGGTTAACTGACTCAGGCTTGTGCTATGGGTTAGCAGTGTAGCCATTCCCGCTCAGGCTGGAGCCTGGGCTCTAAAACGCAGCAAGGGAGGAGAATCTCAGAGCCTGGGCTTCAATTTGAGTGGGACTGTCCACACTGCTATTTTTAGCCCAGTAGGGCGAGCCCTGTGAGCCTGAGTCAATTGGCCTAGGCTCTGAGATTCGCTGTTTTTTTATGCAGTTTAGACATACCCTAAATGACGTGACAAACAGCTGTGATATATGGTTTGTTCTTTCTTTCATCTGTAGTCAAGGGAGAATTGTGTGTAGTGCAGTGTTTTGTTTTTGTAAATTTTTAAGATGTACAGGCTTCTATGTGTTTATATTAGAGAAGGCAAGGTTGAAGAAGAGTGCCTTGCACTTGTAGGTGATGTTTGTGATAGAAGTTCATTCGGCAGTCTCTGCATGATCCCTGAGAAAGCTTTATCTCCTGCCCAGACAAGCTTTATATACTTATGATAGTCTCTAAGGTGCCACAAGTTCTTATGATAGAACGTTCCATTGTACCTATAGAGCGGAGGTGTCAACTACAGTCCTAATCTTAGAGCTTTAGGCCATCAATTAGATATGCGAGACCTGGTCCATTGAGCACCTTTAAGATAAGGACTGAGACCTTGAACTTTACTCTGTATTCTGTAGGAAGCCAATCTGGAGAGGGGAAGACAGATCTGCAGAGGCTCACGGTACTGCAGCATTCTGTACTAGTTGAAGTTTCCTAAGGCTTGATGGCTTCATGTCCAGGTATATTGCATTGCTGTAGTCCAGATGGGAGGGTGATGAAAGCATCTGTAATCAAGGACAGGTCATTGACTGCCAGGATAAAACAGAGGGTATGTCTGTACTAGAGCTGAAGGTGTAATTTCTAGTTCAAATAGACAAATCCACAATAGGACTGATCAAGCTAGTGTGCTAAAAATAGACGTGTAGTACAAGCAGTAGAACAGGCTAGCTGCCCAAAGTATGAGTCTTCATTAAACATTAAATATGTATACAGATGTGGCTATCCACAGATATAAAGCGCATATCTGCAGATTTGCAGGGCTCTCCTAACAATGAGTGAGACCAGCAGGGCCATGGTCAGCGACCGGGTCAGGAACCGCAGTGATGAAAGCAGCAGCATGTCAGGCTGCTGCTCGCAGGAGCCAGCGCCCAACCTGGGCAGCTCCTTCAGCGTGGCTGTACTGCCCCCAGTCCTGCACACTGGGGCAGGCACCAGGCCCACCAGCAGCTGTCCCTGGGCATCTGCATATTGCTCATTCTGACTAGTTCACCTATTGGCTGCACATGAATATTGAATAGGACAGGACAGAGAATAGATTCTTGCAGGACTCCACACATAAGAGGTTTTGTGATGGTGGTGGTGCAGTTTCCCATCGCTACTCTTTTGGTGTTTCCCTCCAAACACTTCAGCACATTCCCTGGGATCCCTGTCATCTCTCCTGGTCAGGACAACAGTAGCTCATGGTCAACAGTGGTGACTGCTGAAGAGAGGTCCAGGAGGATGAGCATGGACGTCTGCCTTCCTTGCACTGACAGCAGGAAATCACCCAGCAGACCCACTAAAACTGTTTCTGTCCCATGTCCTGGCCTGATTCCGGATTGTGCTGGGTTTAGGATATTAATTTTTAATTAGTTGACATGGTTCATAGTTTTGGAGTTCCCAGTAGTGTTTGGTACCTGGTAATTACCCTTCTGGGGGCAAAAGAGGGGCATCAATGATTGCTATTATTAATTATTACTTTACAGAACACAAAGGCATGTCAGGCACTTTATAAAAGAAGACATAGTCCTTGCCCCAAATAACTTACATTTTAAACTATCCTTGATGCAATAACTGAGGAGGCCAGACTGTAGGCAGGGAATGGGACAGGAAAGGAAGAGGGTTACCGCAATATAATTACAAGATTACTCAGTTTAAGGCACTTTGATCATTTAAAAAAATATACAAATAAAATAGTTAAAATAATTAACTCACTTAAGGGAAGCATTGCAAAAGAAGGGAGTTTTCAAGAGCTACTTTTCAACGAGGGGAGGGCAGTAGCTTGTCAGATCAGAATAGAAAGGGCTTTTCATCTACAGTAAGGCAGCATGAAGAAAGGCACAGAAGGGCTTGTGGTAGAAGATGAATGGGGCCTCGCTGGTGGAGTAGAGGAGGTGGGGGAATAATGTGATGAAATAAGATCAGTTATGTAGAAAGGAACATAGTTATGTAGGGCTTTGAAGGTGAGGACAAGTTTAAATTTGATCTGATCAATCCTGGAAAGGGGGAAGAAGTACTAGAGCATGGTT